CCCTGCCCCCCGCCCTTCCCCCCCGCCCGCTGTGATCTGCAGCCTGTGGTCAGTTAGTGATTGCAAGTGCATCTGGTTGTCATTAGTTACGTAACTTTGGGCTGTTCACGTTTGATTTCCCTGAAATTACAGCTTGGAAGTGGGGCCTTAGGAAGGATGCTGGCACAGGGACAGGGGAGCAAGCCCCAGTGCGTGAGCCTGGACACAAGTCACAGGCGGAGGCCTCCACGCCTGCTGCTGCTCTCACCTGCTCAGACAGGGTCTGTGCTGGGGACAACTGCAGACACTTTGAAAGACCTCATTCCAAATAAATGTAGGTTATTGGGTTAATAAATACTCCCCCCTCCCTGCCTCCCTCCCTCCTTACCTCGCTCCTTCCTTCCTCCCTGCCTCCCTCCCTCCATCTCTCCTTTCTTCCTTCCCTCCCTCCGCCTCCCTCTCTCCCTCCCTCTCTCCTCCTCCCTCCTTTCCCTCCCTCTATCTCTCCTTTCTTCCCTCTCTCCTCCTCCCCCTTCCCCCTCCCTCCCTCCTTCCCTCCCTTTTTCCCTCCCTCCCTCCCACTTTCATCTGTGTGTCTTGGTCTCCAACTAGCACGTGGAGTGTTTTGCAGCTGTCTGCTGACTCTGGGTTGTCCCTTTGCACTGATGACAGGGCAGTGAGGGTCTGACTGGATGTGAGTGGAACTGATGGCCACCCTCGCAGGAGGGCCTGGGGCAGGAGGGCCTGGGGCAGGAGGACCTGGGGCAGGAGGGCCTGGGGCAGGAGGGCCTGGGGCAGGAGGGCCTGGGGCAGGAGGACCTGGGGCAGGAGGGCCTGGGGTAGGAGGGCCTGGGGCAGGAGGGCCTGGGGTAGGGGGCCTGGGGTAGGGGGGCCTGGAGCAGGAGGGCCTGGGCTGGGAAATGTGGCGCTTTCCAAATCCTGATCTGTGTCTCATTTTTGCTCCATTTCCTCAGAGAATTCTGGTTTCTCCCTCACAGCCCTTAAAAATGAAGCAGTCTTGGCATCTATAAACATTTTATTACTGTTGTTTGATTTTACTACCCCTTTAAAGTAACAGGTCTTTGGGCGTTGCGTTTGGGAGGCACAGGAAGTACCGGGAAGTGCGGAGTGGAGACCTGGAGGAGGAAATGCACAATTTGCCACAACCTTCAGGGCAGAAACGTCGCATGAGGAAGTGCTGCTCAGAGGCCGGAGCAGGTCCGCAGGGGGACCGGTTTGTCCTCGTGGTCTCGTCGGCTCCATGCGACTCCTGTGGGCCTCGGACAGGGCAGGCGACGGGGCCACATGCTACCTGACCAGCCCAGGGGAGGCCTGCGTGGCGGCCGTGCAAAGGCAGAGACGCAGTCACCATAAGGATGGTCTGAAATGAAACTGTAATAAAAGCAGTGATGGTGGGTCGGCACGTCCTAGGCCCGTATCTTCCCTGACAAGGTCAACCTTTACCTTCACTGAGCCTCTGCGTCGTTTTGCACCTGTGATAACATCCCTGAAATGTCCGGGTCACTTGTAACTTCCCTTTTCCCGGACCCCTCATGGCACAGCCTAATGCCCGGGGCACCAGGACAGACACCACAGATTCCTTCGTTGTTCTGTTACCATGTTAATTGTTGGCTGTTAACTATCCTGCACCCACCAATTCCAGGGGTTCCCCCGCTTTGCTTTCTCCCGCCTCCCTAACCTGTCACCAATGGAGTTCCTGTAACCCGCCTCCTCCCTCCTTTGACTGCAATGTGTAAAAACAGGAAAGACCGCCATTCTCCGGAGCACTGTCTCAATCCTTTGAGGTTCTGCTTCCCAGCATTTGTCGCCAGTTTGGCTCAAATAAACTCACAAAAATTTTTTACAGGTTGAACAGGTTTATGTTAACAACAGAATTCTTAAAGAGCCAGAAGTGGGGCCTCCCGGGGCTCAGCGCCCAGGTCTCTCCTGGGGCCGGGTCGGGCTGGGGTGTTCCTCGCAGCAGAAACTCGGAGGGACAGACAGAGCCCTGCGTGTCCTGCAGCCACGGCCTCTCCAGCCGGAGTCAGGCCCCCCAGTCCTGATGCTAGTAACTCGTTCAATGAATGGCCCTGTGGCCTGAGCAAGAGGCGCTCCCTGGACACAGTGAGCAGGGCCCACGAGTGACGGCTCTGTCCTGCTCCCCGGCCATGAGAGCGGGAAAGGGCCCGACGTCAGAGTACAGGCCACGCTCTAACCCAGGGGTCCTCAAACTACGGCCCGCGGGCCACATGCAAATACAAATATTGTATTTGTTCCCATTTTTTTTTTTACTTCAAAATAAGATATGTGCAGTGTGCATAGGAATTTGTTCATAGTTTTTTTTTAAACTATAGTCCGGCCCTCCAGCGGTCTGAGGGACAGTGAACTGGCCCCCCGTTTAAAAAGTTTGAGGATCCCTGGTTTACACCAAGAGGCGGTGGAGACACCCAGCTGGTGCCTGGTGGTGAGCAGGCCCTTTCCTGTGGGCCGTGCTGAGCGGTGGACAGCAACTCCCATGACACGGGCGTAATGGCTGTGCTGTGGGGCCCCAAAGAGGTGAAGCATCACCTGGGAGCTGGGGGCCATCGGGTGGGAGCAAGGCCAGGGAAGCAGAGAGCGTCTCTGCGGCCACTGCTTCAGCCTCTAAGCCGCGCACGGCCTGCTGCAGCAGGCTCTCCAGTGGCCAAGGTCAAGTGGTTCCAGGGAGACCATGAGAACAATGGGAGGAAGCAAGGCTTCCCAGATCATTGCTGTGTGCGCGCGCGCACACACACACACACACACGCGCGCGCGCACACACACATGTACGCGCACACATGCACATGTACACGCATGCACATGTACATGTACACACATGCACTCACACGCACATGTACACACATGTACACGCGCATGCGCACGCGCATGCACACACGTAAACGTGCACACGCACATGTACACACATGCACGCACGTGCACACACGCGCGCACATGCACACACGCGTGTGCTCACATGCACATACACGGGTGTGAACACGAGCGGGAACTCAAGCAGCACGGGGTTCACCGGTAAACCAACAACTGGTCTCTAATACAACCCAAGGGAGGGGCGCTGTGCCGGGCGCTGGGGTGATGGACAAACTGGACAAAGGAAAAATGGTTTAAGAGGTTCTGGCTTCACAGAGGGTCGCATCACACTCCATCCCTGAGTTGCTTTCCTGGTTTGACAGGTTTAGGGGCTGGTGGGCTGTCCGAGGGGAGCTGGGCTTGAGAGCCCAACATCTGGGCAGCCGCCACAGCGTGAGAATTAATTAGACACAGAAGTGGAGTCTGAGTTGGTGCAGGGAACTGCAGGACTGAGCTGTTTATTTTTGCCTGGCTCTTCAAAACCATGATTTTTGGTAATTGGCAAACTACACCCACAAAACCCCATAAAATTGATATTCACTTCTCAAAGTCTCCAGTGAGCAGCAGGGGTGCCTGTGGGAGGAGGCGGGCTTTGGCTCACACAGCGCCAAGGATGCGCACACGCGCGCACACACACACACACAGGAGGTTCCCTCGTGGTCTTCAGTGTTGCGTGGTGGACTGTGCAGGCGGGTGCCTGGTGCGGTGAGAAACGGGCATGGGGGCGCTGTGAGCTCGGGTCCCACAGACGCTGCCATGTGCCCAGTCTCTCGTGACCCAGACGTAACCAAGTGCTGGAGCCAGACGGGGCCTGGAACCCGCTGTCAGAGCCTTTGCTTTGCACGAAGGAGTGAAGCTTCGTCTTGTCCAGGAGGCCCAGGGTGTCATTGGGGACAGCTCTCCGGTCCTGGCTCCCACAGGCTGCCTGTCACCCCCTCCTGGCTGAGAGGCCAGCATCGGGCTCAGCTGGGCAGGACTCAGGGGCAACTCAGCAAGGACCGCTTGGCGCTGAAAAGGCTCCCCTGCCCAGAAGGGTTAGCGGGTGCCACGCAGAGCAGGCCCCGGGGAGGCTGAGTGCCCTGGGCCTGCAGACCCCGCACCGCCGTCCACTGCAGCGGCCTCTGTGACACGTGGCCAGACGCGCATTACCCGCTAGAAATGCTCTCCCCCAGGAATTTCCACAGTGTTCTATGCACCGTCCGCGCACGGACCCCTTAGCAGGCGACTGTGCTGCCTGTTCCCGGGGCCATGGGCTGGGCAGTTGTACAGAAATGAGTATTTCTACCCCTCCTGGCACTCACAGAGTGCGCCTGTCTGGGCCCTAAATTGTGGTCACTCTTACACAAAGGTGTGTGGGTGACCACTCGGCGTCCAATCCTGTGAGCAATGGCTTCTTTTCCTGCGGGGACCCTGCCCTGCGTCCTCACCTGGGAAGTAAGGGGTACAGGTGGGGGAAGCACCAAGATCTGCATTTGGAGACGGTTTCTTCTTTGAACACGGCAGTCCCTCATTTCCTTAAAAACATTTGATGAGGACACACCGTGTCCCAGCCCCGGCGGGCACGGGCATTGCTGGGCAGCAACGATCAGCAGAGCGAGGGGAGTAGCAGCGGGGAGGACAGGGCTGGTCATACGCAGGCACACAGCTTCCGGGCACACGGCCTGGGCCCTCCGCCACGCTGACACTTTGTAAAGGAGGAGGAGGGTGCAGGCTGAGTCCTGACACTGGTCATGGGACCTGTGGGACAGCTGGAAGTGGGCACAGGAGGGCTCCCAGGTGTGGGCACAGGGGGGCTCCCAGGTGTGGACACAGGAGGGCTCCCAGGTGTGAGTACAGGGGGGCTCCCAGGTGTGAGCATAGGGGGGCTCCCAGGTGTGGGCACAGGAGGGCTCCCAGGTGTGGGCACAGGGGGGCTCCCAGGTGTGGGCATAGGGGGGCTCCCAGGTGTGGGCACAGGAGGGCTCCCAGGTGTGGGCACAGGGGGGCTCCCAGGTGTGGGCATAGGGGGGCTCCCAGGTGTGGGCACAGGAGGGCTCCCAGGTGTGGGCACAGGGGGGCTCCCAGGTGTGGGCATAGGGGGGCTCCCAGGTGTGGGCACAGGAGGGCTCCCAGGTGTGGGCACAGGGGGGCTCCCAGGTGTGGGCATAGGGGGGCTCCCAGGTGTGGGCACAGGAGGGCTCCCAGGTGTGGGCACAGGGGGGCTCCCAGGTGTGGGCATAGGGGGGCTCCCAGGTGTGGGCACAGGAGGGCTCCCAGGTGTGGGCACAGGGGGGCTCCCAGGTGTGGGCATAGGGGGGCTCCCAGGTGTGGGCACAGGAGGGCTCCCAGGTGTGGGCACAGGGGGGCTCCCAGGTGTGGGCATAGGGGGGCTCCCAGGTGTGGGCACAGGAGGGCTCCCAGGTGTGGGCACAGGGGGGCTCCCAGGTGTGGGCATAGGGGGGCTCCCAGGTGTGGGCACAGGAGGGCTCCCAGGTGTGGGCACAGGGGGGCTCCCAGGTGTGGGCATAGGGGGGCTCCCAGGTGTGGGCACAGGAGGGCTCCCAGGTGTGGGCACAGGGGGGCTCCCAGGTGTGGGCATAGGGGGGCTCCCAGGTGTGGGCACAGGAGGGCTCCCAGGTGTGGGCACAGGGGGGCTCCCAGGTGTGGGCATAGGGGGGCTCCCAGGTGTGGGCACAGGAGGGCTCCCAGGTGTGGGCACAAGGAGAGAGCATGAACTTGTGCACCCAGCATGGGAAGACTTGGGAGTTTATCTCCCGACTTGTCCATTAAACTTCTCTGTGTCCTTAATTTTCCAGGTTCCCTCTTATTCCCTGGCTCTTAATTGGTGATGACATCCTGTAGGAAACGCATTGATGAAGATGGTCCTTCTCTCTCTGAAGCTGTTCATTGCAAAGGTGGTTGAAGCTTTTCTTCTCTGCATTCGTCTTGGTTTTCATGAAGTCCTTTGTTTTCTACACTTGACTCTGGCCCGGCTTTAATATTAGATGCTTTTTATGAGGCTCTGGGTGACCTGTGATCGTTCGTTTGAGAGAGGGAGGCACTGAAAGTCAGCCGGAAGCTCCGTGGGCCTGGGTGGCTGTGGACGGGGTGACGGCGGACGTGGACTTTCACAGAAAGGTTTCTGGGCATCAGTTCTCTGAGCTCCTGAGAGTGGAGTTGCCGTGTCCTGCCTGAGGCCCTGAGCTGTCCTGTTGACACAGTGACAGGAGTGGGGGGCCTGGAGCGTTTCGGGGTTCAGAGTGAAAACCTTTCCTTGGTCCCCTTTCTTTGAATGGCCCCTCCTCTCCTTTCTCTGATGAGCCTGGCATCCACTTCCCTGGTGTGAATGTCCCTAGTCCCACGTGGTTCAGGGTTCAGGGTCTGGAAAAGGGGCCGCAAGCAAATGAAAGAGACAAGAAATAATAATTTGGAAATATTGGGGGCCAGGCAGGCAAGCCCAATGCAAGAGAAAGGACTTCCACTGGTGCCCAGGCCTCGCCAGCCTTTTGTTCAATGTTGGATACACATCTAGCTCTTAGGCAGGCAGGTAACTGCAGTAACAGACAGACTATCTTAAAGGTCAGTAAATATTAGAAGGATTTACTCTGAGACTATTTGGTCAGGAAATAGCTTGAGCCCCCATTGTCTGGACTGGACAATCGGCGCACAACTCTGGCCCTTGCCATGGGTTCAAGGTTCACCAGCGTTCCGGGACCCTTGTTTGCACTTCTCTGCTAGTGAAGGCAATGGGTGGCTTCCTGCATCTCCCCCGTTTGTTTTCCTTAGTTAATCCTTTTTTAAAAATATATTTTATTGATTTTTTTTACAGAGAGGAAGGGAGAGGGATAAAGAGTTAGAAACATCGATGAGAGAGAAACATCGATCAGCTGCCTCCTGCACGCCCCCTACTGGGGATGTGCCCACAACCAAGGTACATGCCCTTGGCCAAAATCGAACCTGGGACCCTTCAGTCCGCAGGTTGACGCTCTATCCACTGAGCCAAACCGGTTAGGGTTCCTTAGTTAATCTTGAAAGATGAATGCCACCTGAAGAGTTCGAGTCCTTTCAAGACTCTTCATTCCGCATCTGCAGACTAGAAATAAACATGAGAACAAAATGAGACAAGCAATAGTGGTTATGCTGAGAGGCAGATGAATCCGTCTGTGGTAAGTTCCTTTCTGGGCCAACAGTCCCTTGAGTCCCAATTTCCATGTCCCACAGTTCCTATGTGTACACGCCAGCAATGACATGCTAGTTCTGGACGGTGGGCAAACGGTGGCAGTGCAGGTCTGACCTTCTCTGGCTGGGTCCTGGGCAACCTGCAGCGAGGCACAGCTGTTGACTCTAGCGTGGCAAGGCGTCTTCACCATCTCCATCTCTGGACTGTTTCTCCTCTTGTCTTCAGCATGTTGTCAGTTCCTCTCTCGGATTCATTGCTGCAGGAATCCACACGGCTTAGAGAAGTTTTCTGGAAATATACAAACATATTCTCGACCGGAGGTTAACAAAGGAGTCATTTCTATAAACTAGACTTGGGATCCTTGCTTTTCATTGTGCCTAAACCACTTTCCTTTGATTATTTTGACATCATGTGTATTTTCATGGGTGTCTTGTCTCCAGCATTACAAGTGAAAAATAATTTTTAAAGTAAAAAATTTTCTTGATGTAATTTACTCACAGGGGATTATTCCACTATCCCCCTTCTTGTTTTGATTTAAATAATATTGAGGCTTTTGGAAATCTTGTAATGCAGTCTTGATAACTTTTTTATTTTAATTTTTTTTGTACAGAAATATGACTGCTTTGGATTCATTGCATGTTAAGCAATTTTTGAACTATGAGATAAACCATTAGTAAAAAATTAATTAATGCTTCAGGAACAGTTTCCCTGCCCAGTACAACAAAGTTTTTATAAATATTCATTTATTTTAATTAGCCAATTTAAACCAATCTGAAATAAGGTTTATTTTGTAACTTTACTTATCCTAGGTTATAGACAGTAAATGACATTAATTAAATTTCTGCTATTAGTTTTCAAATAACTTTACATAAGTTTTGTCAGAGAGGCAAAAACACAAATTATTTAATTTTCTTCTTAAGGCCTAAGAAATCTTTGTCTGTCTTTTTCACACCAAACAACAAATATAACAAACATGGCTGCTTTTTGATGCTAACTGATATTGCCAGGCCATGTAGTCACATTAAACAACCTTCCTTATAGTCATGGTGACTACTAGTAAGGAGTAGATTTAGTATTTTAACAACAATCTTTAGTTTACCCTATAAATATTAGCAGAAGAGATTTCAAAATTTTTAAATTTCTCTTTTTTATTAAGCTTAGAATTATATTTTTAAAAAGTATTTCCTTTGGCTTATTTGCATATACAGAGGGATTATGGGAAGCCTCAGTAATTTTCTTAGTCTTTACTAGAATTCAATTGAAAAATATTGGCTTCTCATATAACTTAATTTATATGAGACCTTGATTATATTTTAAAAGTTAATTATTAAGTAATTAAAGTAGGCATCTTTATTAAAAAAGCAAAGCAAGTAAATTTAGTAAACTTATACATCTGATTCACAAGGCACAAACACTGCCCCACCTCCAGTCTAATTAAAATGCAGGCGGCTAGGAGCTTTTGTAATTAAAATTCCATCTTAAAATTTTGCTGTTGAATTTTAAGAAATATTTTGTTACTTTATTTTGCCCTCCCTAGAGGCCAAAACCTTTATAACATTTAAAATATATGTATATAAGTAAAATATAGTTATTAATTTTTATTAAAAAATATATTTTATTGATTTTTTACAGAGAGGAAGGGAGAGGGATAGAGAGTTAGAAACATCAAACAGCTGCCTCCTGCACACCCCCCACTGGGGTTGTGCCCGCAACCACGGTACATGCCCTTTACTGGAACCGAACCCGGGACCCTCCGGTCTGCAGGGTGACACTCTATCCACTGAGCCAAACCAGTTAGGGCTAGTTATTAATTTTTATTTGATAAAGCTTTCCATGTGATTTTAAGTATATTAGATTGGCTAAATTTAAAATATTTCCTTTAAGAAGAGAGAACAAATTCTTTGAATCATTTCAGGGCTCGTGAAATGTTCCAAAGTTATCTCTGGGTTAAAGCCTTGAAATTTAACTTGGAAAGACCATCAAATATAAATAAAATAAATTTCTATACTTTAGGCATTTAGTTACCATCACTACATAATTTCTCCAAAATTAATTTGAACTTTCACCGCCGAGGGCAAAAGCTTTGTCCTTGGCTGGCGAAACAGGCTTTGGCCTAGCCGCTTGACTTCAAAATGACCATATTGTTTCTGCTGGGGGAAGGGCGACTAGCCCTTTCCTCCATTAGAGAGGCACAGCTAGCTTCCCCCCGGGCTGTTATTTATCTGCTAGAGGCCTGGTGCACGACATTCGTGCACTGGGGGGGTGGGGGTCCCTCAGTCTGGGACCCCTTGGGGAGCAGGCTAAAACCAGCAGTTGGACATCCCCCGAGGGGTCCTTAGCGCTGCTGCGGAGGCAGGAGAGGCTCCTGCCACCTGTGCTCGCCAGCTGTGAGCCCGGCTTCTGACTGAGAGGTGCTCCCCCTATGGGAGCACACTCACCATCAGGGGGCAGCTCCTGCGTTGAGCATCTGCCCCCTGGTGGTCAGTACACGTCATAGGGACTGGTTGTTCCACCATTGGGTCAATTTGCATATTAGCCTTTTATTATATAGGATGTTTCAACAATTTTTTGAGATTTAAATCCAATTATAATTATCTTAAGGCATTTTCTTTGGCAAATTTTTATAACAGAGACAATTTACATATTTTCTTGGTGGCTTTCATGTTAACCTTTGAACACGGTCCTTTATTATTTTAAAAACTACTCTTTATTATGGAAATACCAATCTTGTTGCTAGAACCAGCCTATATTTTCCCCTTGGGTCAAATCTGCCATCTTTCTGAGGAAAAAACCAGTCTTGGGTTTTATTCTGTAGCATTCATAAAGAGATTAAGTTTAGCTCAAAACTATCTAATATTCAAAATCGGACGGTGTGCGCACATTTTAAGCTATCTTCTCTCTTCACATGTGCACAGAAATCCCAGACACATTTCTAAATTTTGTAAAATTTTTCATGGTGAGAAGGAGACTTTTTAAATAGCATACTTGGGGAGGGGACAGGATCACCACGTGTCTCCCTTCCCCACCTCCTGCTTGCTTTTCATAAGTTATTTGAGCATTCAGCCCGCGGTTTGTGTGGGCTTGCTCCTGACATTTCTCCAAAAATTCTCCCTTCCGTAGTAAATAATCTCCTCCACCCAGAGTTGCAGGAGCCAGAGAATACCAATCATAAGGAGCAAAGAATGCTCCAGAAATATTATTCATAATTTCTCCTGTAATCCTTCTCAGATAGCTCTTTGCACAGGTGATTCTATCAACAGCGAATTAAACATTTCAGGATTAGGACATGGAGGTGGAGGGAGCCATGAAGACCATTCCTCCAATTTTTCTTTTTGATCTTTAGGAGCAGAGGGTGCAAGGGGAGGAGAGTTATCCTCCTTGGCCTCTCCTAAAGGCTCTAGCAAATGAAGTACCGTGTTTCACCGGAAGAAAACAGTTTGGAGGCAAGTTTTTTCCCTGCTGCTGAGCTATTTTCAAGTTTTGACCCACTCTTTGCCAAACATTCAAGATCTAATGTACCTTCTTCAGGAAACCAAGGGTTATGTTCTGTAACCTCAAGCAAAAACTATAGGACAGTACCTTCGGAAACTTTAATGCTTTTATCCTTAAGCCAGGGGTCCTCAAACTGCGGCCCGCGGGCCACATGCGGCCCTGCAAAAACA